TGCTGACTATATGTGGCGTGGGTACCCGATGTGGGTCAGCATTCTGTTTGGATGCTAGAGCGAGGCAGAGTTTACAGTAGGGCTGCAACGGTTTTGTAGCTTATGTGATGGATACACGAGTGGTCGCAGAGAGACCGAGTTTGATTGGTGATGTTCCGATAGTGCGTGAGTTCCCGGATGTTTTTCCAGAGGAGTTATTGGGTGAGCCTCCCGAGAGGCAGGTGGAGTTCCGCATCGATTTGGTTCCGGGGGCAGCGTCTTATCGCCTTGCGCCGCCAGAGATGCAAGAGTTATCCTCGCAGCTTCAGGAGCTGCTGGGAAAGGGGTTTATTAGACCGAGTAGCTCGTCGTTGGGAGAACCAATCCTTTTTGTCAAGAAAAAGGATGGTTCACACCGGATGTGCATTGATTAGCGGGAGTTGAACAAGTTGACGGTCAAGAACCGTTATCCATTATCGAGGATCGATGATCTGTTCGATTAGTTGTAGTGAGCGTCTTGGTTCTCCAAGATAGATTTGAGATCTGGATATCATTAGATGAGAGTGCAAGATGAAGATATACAGAAGACGACATTCATGACTTATTATGGGCATTACGAGTTCGTGGTGATGCCTTTTGGGCTCACCAATGTACCGGCAACGTTCATGGATCTCATGAACAGGGTGTGCAGGCCGATGTTGGATCGGTCGGTGCTCGTGTTTATCGACGATATTGTGGTATATTTGAGGTCTGGAGAGCAGCATGAGGAGCATCTGAGAGAGATTCTTGGAGTATTGAGGTCGGAGAGGCTTTTCGCCAAATTCTCCAAGTGCGATTTCTGGTTACGAGAGGTCCAGTTCTTGGGACACCTCGTTAACCAGAATGGGATATTGGTCGATCAGACCAAGATTGAGGCGGTTATGAGATGGGAAGTGCTGAAATCCCCCAGCGAGATCAGGAGTTTTCTGGGATTGGCCGGTTACTTTTGGAGATTTATCAGGGATTTCTCCAAGACTTTTAGTTGGGGTCCAGAGCAGCAGGCCTCATTCGAGACGCTTCGTCAGAGATTATGCGAAGCCCCGGTATTAGCCCTCCCTCAAGGGATGGAGGATTTTGTGGTATATTGTGACGTATCGACATCAGGGTTAGGTGCAATGCTTATGCAGAGAGGACATGTGATAGCGTACGCATCGAGGCAGTTGAAGCCTCACAAGGTGAGATATCCTACCCACGATTTGGAGTTGGGGGTCGTGGTGTTCGCCCTCAAGATATGGCATCATTATTTGTATGGGGTTCGGTGTATCATATACACGGACCACAAGAGTTTGAAGTACTTGATGGATCATCCCAACCTGAATCTGCGCCGGGGGGGGGGGGATACAAGTAAAACACAAGGAATCTTCTGTTAATATTCAAACGATTTCAAACTATTTTAAATTGTTTCAAGAAATTCCAAATTATTTCAATTGTTTCAACTATTTTATTACCAATATATATATATATATATATATATATATATATATATATATATATATATATATATATATATAATTCAACACGCTTACGACTAATGTTTTCGCCTTAACTCTTGTTCTTTGTTTAGTTGTGTGCTTAGAGTAAAATTAATTGTCCAACTGTCTTTTCAATCTCAATTATATATGTTGTACATATATATATGAGTATAAATCTTATTTAAATAAAATTTTAACCTCTTTGTAACATGCCGAGCAAAATGAGTATTTTCATAAATATTTGCAGTACATACAGAACATACATATAAACTATAATAATTATAGTTTATGGAACATACATATTACTTTACTAGTTCGAGAAACAATACAAGAACATACATGATAAATTATAATAGGTATTGTTTATGGAACACTTACACTATTTTACTGAGTTCAAAGATACAATACAAAAATAATTATTTAAGTATAATTATATTACACTACGAGTACACTACAAAAAGGGATACATTTACAAGAATAAGAGAACATTTACACACTATATGTAAATAAGTTAATACATGTTTGTGAGCCACTACTTCATCGTACCTACTAGAGTACACGCTAAAGTCCTGAATTATAACCAGAGTCCCCTGGAGGGAGAGCGTGAATTTATGTATAGATCTATATGGGACTGACAATCCCGCACCTAAACTGTTAGTTATAGTTAGACCAATAGGTCTGGGGTTACAAATGTCCTAACATTTCGACACCTGAAGAACGTCGTGTAGGCCACTAGTCATTTTAGAATGGTTATAATATCACTCACAATAAGCATTAACTAAACATTTTGGTTTACGGGATAAACATAACTTCAATGGTTTTATTTTAATAATAGAACTACATTACACTACATTACAGTACAGTCGGTGGATTCCAGGCACATACATACAAAGGGTTTTCATACAAATACAATACATTGCACTATTTTCCTAATATTGTACAACATACATTTATGGGAATTATTCATTTATATGGTTTTATTTAATAATAAGACTACATTATACTAATTCAAAGTACATTAACACACATACATTTTGGTCCTAAGGCCTAAGACTACATTTCATTTACAAAAGAAAATATTGGATTTTCTGGAGGAAACACACTAACAATTTCAAAGTACAAATGCAAACTTCTAAAACAAAATTGCTTATGAACTCACCAACTTAAATGTGGATACACTTTCAAAATCACTTGTATTCTCAAGAAACCAATAGACATGTACACTTACAGGTTTTGAGAAAACGGAGCATCATAGTGTCGCGTCCTATAGTTTTTGCTTTACACTTTTGGTATCATACAAACAATGTTGCGAAAACATTGTAAAATCTATATTATCAATATAATGGTTGTTGTTACTTTAATTACTATTATTCAATTTTTGTGATACTATACATGACGTCATCTTCCTTTGAACGTTTCCGCCATTCCGGTTTAGGGGTGTGACAGATTGGTATCAGAGTGTTGTTTATAGTGAACTAAGTATATCAAACCATGTAAGATATACAACTATAAACACAATGGGATAAAAACACTCTGACCAAGTGATATACTTTTAAAATATATTAATATTTTTATAAAAGTATACATACATGCATACATACCAGAAACAATATCACAGTAAGAACTACTTACAAGTATTTAGATGAGTTGGACACTATGGTTAATCCTGGATAGTTATGTAATCATATATGGAATAAATATAGCCTGATCAACTATATTTATTTGAGATATGACCAACATGTGTTTGGGAATGATCGTGGTGTTGCAACAAGTCTAAAACTTACCAACTCTATATACAAGATAAACTCTAGAACCAAACATGAATGTAAAATACTATAGGAGTATTTTATGGAACTATAACACTAGAACAACAACAATTAGGCTTCAATAGTTATATAAACTAATAGTTAAGAAAGGCCTTCTTACTAGAATCAATCATGTGAAAACAAAGGACCCTTACTGGTAGATCTATAATTGCTAAGTGTATACATTAAAAGTTATATATAATTAAGATTTTATAGACTTAGAAATTGTGATTTCGCTTTACTTCCTGTTCCTTGTTTAGTTGTGGACTTAGAGTAGGATCACTTATTCGAAGGTCTATTTGGTCTTGGTTATATATAATATGTATACGCTATGTGATTATAGGGGGACCAGGTATGAGTCACACAATACAAATTCATTAGAGTGTTGCTATGAATTTCATAAATTGAAATTTGCGATTGTTTACTTATATTAGTAGACTTCTATTGTAAATCGCTTAATAGAACACTATAACAGTCAGGATATGTCGCGTCTAGAACTAAGATATATCTTGTTTAATATCACCTAACTCATGACCATCATAAAGGACCTATCATCACTTCCTCTTTAAACATTATAAAGAAAGATGCCATCAAAGAAGTTCAACAGGAACAAAAACAACACACCAACAAATCCACCGCCGCCACCACCTCCACAGTATGACCCTACTATTTTCTAAGTAGCAATGACAACCTCCGTGGCAGCCACCATGACACAAATCAACGCTAGTGGTGCTAGTAGGGCAGGTAGTGGTGCTAACAGTTCTAACCACGGAGAAAGTCTCGGACACCTACGGGAGTGTTCCTACAAAGACTTCACCAATTGCAGACCAAAATCCTTTAATGGAAGCAGGGAAGTCATTGCCCTGGCGCAATGGTTCAAGAAAATAGAAGCAGTTTTCGAGATTTTCTCATGCCCAGAAGGGAGCAAGGTGAAGTTTGCTGCATGCACCTTCTCTGACAGGGCCCTTACATGGTGGAATGGCCATGGCAATTCACCGACCCTCATAGTGGCTAAGTCCATGCACTACTAGAAAAAAGGCCTTTTACGACGCTCATTGCGCGTCGTAAAACGCTCAGACGACGCGCAAATGCGTGTCAAGGAAGGCCCTGTCATAAAGAGAGACGACGCACATTTATGACGCGCATTTACGACGTGCGGTTATGACACGCAATGCGTATCAAGGAAGGCCCTGTCATAAAGGAAGACGACACGCATTTGCGTGTCGTAACCTTATGACGCGCGTGTTTATGACATGCAATGCGTATCAAGGAAGCCCCTGTCAAGAAAGGCCATGTCATAAATGAAGATGACACACATTTTTGCGTATCATAATTTTAAATGTTTAAAAAAATATTATTTATAGATTTGCTTATTTTCAAATTAAATTTGTATTTAATGTTTAATAATAGATAATAAAATATCATATACAAAAATAGAATCCATTGCATAAATTTAATGTCATACAAATAATCGTTCCATATGTAAACAAATATATACCAAAAACATCATGTCAAAAAATTGTAATACATTTATATTAAGGGGATCTAATTGTACATTGTTATTAAGAGGTTTTCCCTAAATATATAACATAATACTAAATTGCTATTAAGGGACACCTTATGCAATGTAATGCTATACAAACTAAAAAGATATACACAAAGATGATAAACATCAAATTCCAACTAAGTAGTTGAATCTTGCCTTTCATACTTCTTTAAGACTAATATTGAACCCCTGCTCCGATAATTCTTGTGACCTGATCAAATAAAAGTCAAAAAATTAATATGTTAATACAATTATTAGAAGAATCAAACTTGGAATGTTAGTTGTAAAAGACGAAATTACCCTTTTCTCCATCCAAAGAATTTGGGATTTGGAATAAATACACTACAATATGAATTACCTAATATCAACAATGACAAACACAATGACAAGAATACCCGCATACAAATGGTAAATATTATCTGTAAAGCTATCAACAATGATATTCACAATGACAATCTTTGATCATATAAACTAGAGAGTATATCATCACAATTCCATCTAACACACCCATTAGAACACGTAAAGCTACTCAACCAACATATCATGTCATGTAATGTATTTTTTGTCAGTATATCTTCACATAGAAAACAAAAGTGAAATAAATAAAAATAACAACCTTCTCATTTACTGAAAATGGATATTGTTCACATATATGGGAGCCATTTTCAGAATTACCATCCCCATTTACCTGAAATCATTCATGCCATTTTAACTCAAATAATTTATTTATAGTAAAAAAATAAATATTTATAATTATAGTGTTTTGATTATATAATATATACCCATCTGTCACTGACTCCTCATTCGTCATAAGAATGAACAAATATTTTAATTAATTACCTTGAAATGATAATAATATAAATACTATAACACCATGGCATGGTATATTTGAATAATACCTAGTGTAGCATCCAAGATAAGATGTTGACTTGTTGCTTGAGCAGATTTTGCAGTGTATGCTTTAAGGGCATCATCCCACCGTTGCAGCTTTTCATACCTTGTATTTGGAAGCAACATAAACAATTAATATTTTGAGAAAATAAGACAATGTAAATGATTTCAGGGTCCTGGAAATATACCATGATTCCTTCAGTTGTAAATCCAAACAACATCCCATATATAGTTATATACTTATGAGAGTGAAAAAAGGAAAGTGAGCTAGTTTATATATATGCTTACCCTCCAAAAAGATAGAAGTGAAAGTATCCAAAAGAAAGCACTTATCCACCTTGATTCCTTATATGTAATCCACACCTGATCAAAAGAAGCAATCAAACATTATTGTTATAACAAAAGTCGAAAAATCTCCTTTTCACTATAGTTGGAAAGTATATAATAAACAAAGACTTACTGCTACAATGACAATACAAAAATAGAAATCGGTTGTTGTTGCTATCATGCACCTGTGAGCATTTACAACTATGTATGAGCATTTACTATTACACTTTTTTACATAAATTAAATAAAAGGGAAATTTTAAATGGTACCTTGATAATACATTGGCATTGAATGTAGATCCATCAACGATAAGCACATAAATAAAAGTTCCCAGCATCAAGTAGCCTAGTGCAGAAATGATTATTTTGCAATTAAAACAAAATGTCCCCTTTTGTATCCCATGGAATCCCTATATAAGCCAAATATATAATAAAATTACAAGCATTTTAGCAAACATTTTTACTTGATTTTAGTTTTTGTTATCGTTATTGGACATGTCCCTCAAAAGATATAATGGATCCTTTGATGATTCTTCTGGTGACAACTTAAAGAACTGCAGAGCCACGTATCATTTGTAATAGGGCTGTAGAAGGAATGAAAATTTACTTAAAACATGTTACACTTGTAATTAATAGTAATAATAATAATAATAAAGTTTAATTACCTTCCTGCAAAAAGTACAACGTGTATCAATACAGCTGCCTTGATCCAGCATGATTCCTTGTAGACTATCTAAGCCTAAGATTGCAAGTATATACACAACCACATATAACTCCATTTGATTCAACAAGCTTGTAACACCATGGTCAAGATCAGTTCCAAAATCCCCAGTAAACACGCCACCTGAATAGAACTGGAAACCCATGCCACTGGCATCAATGGCAACTGATACGGGTTGATTAGCGACTGCCTGTAACAATGCGGATTCACTGTTGGCTGGAACTTTTTCATACCCAGTAATGGTGGCAGCATGGACAGCTTCTTCCTTGGTGTTGCAGGTTCCATCTGTTGCCTGATATGGGTAAGCCACCTCAGTGTTGATGCCTTTGTTTTTAACGATAAACTCAAAGCCATCTTCCATCTCGCCACCATCACATCCTCCGTTTTGTTTTTAGGGGGTTTTGATTGGTGTTTGTTCCTTTAGGGTTCCGTTTTCAGAATGGTTTCCTGTAATCAAAGATTTTGATATTAGTATGGAATTGAGTTCCAAATATTCAAATTGCAGTAAAAGAAATGATCTTACTGTTACCGTTTTCCGTAGAGCGACCATTTAAAGGAGGGGAAGAAGCAAACCCAGTGTAATCACCTGAATTCAAATAAAAAAAATGAGATAAAAAATGAATATTTTTATTTTTAAGGTAGCAGCAGAAAATTAGTTTACCGTTTGTTTGTGCTGGGGAAGATGCGTTTTTTAATTTTTCAGCAGATGATTTGCCAGGCCATTGTTTAAGAGGGTGAATAACCAGAGCTCTTGGATTCTCCCTTGGAATAAAAAGAGCATCTGCTTTTGGTGTGCTGGTAGTCTCTTCATCATCACTAAAAAACGAAACCTGTAATTGTAAAAAAAAAATCAGATCCAACAGCCCAAACCCTTCATGTATCCAACAGCCCAAACGAAACCTGTAATCAAGATTCAAGACCCACAAAACAAAAAACAAAAAGTGCTATACAAACTTACCGACGTGAACCTTTCATGTATCCAACAGCCCAAACCCTTTCAAGTCCATAGTTCAAGGTGTTCTCAAGTCTGAATAAAAAAAAGAGTGGCATAAAGTCAAAAAGTTTACATTTTTAACATATGTATAACGAGGGTATTTTGGTCTTTTGATAGGAAATGAAGAAAGAAATTGAATTCCTTCCATTCATCAAACATGGAATTTGAAGGAATCCAACAAAAATTGAATTCCATCCATTTGGAAACCAAACACACCATGGAATGGAATCTAGCATTCCGATTCTTTTAGAATCTACAAAACAAACACACCCTTAAAGGTAAAAAAACAAGAGCTCACCTGTATGTGGTTGAATGCCATATACGGACAATACCATCTTTTGAACCTGTTATTATTATTGGAAGCTCGGGATGGAAACATACAGCAGAAACATTGTGTGTGTGACCTTCTAGAGTTTGGACACAGGTTTTAGTTAGCAACTCTACAGTAACAGATCACAGTTGTGACCGTATTGCTGGATTCTCATATTGAGATAGTAAAGGGAATCAAATCAGTTTAGAAATTGTAGGTAAATGAGATTCAATTCCTATTACATAAATTAAATTCCAACTCCTAAACACTAAATTGATTTTTTTTATCATTATCAAAACACAATTGGCTGATTACTACTCATGTGTATGTATAATAATAGTAAATTGAATCTAATAGGAATACATCAATTTTTATTTACCTGTGAGGTTGTCACTGTGGCAGGTTGCTTTGAACCTTGTTCATTAATCTTTGGACAATCCCTTTTTGGTTCAAACATTTAGTCAAACACCTAGTGTGCATAAAAAAATCAGGTACTTATATCATAAAATATTAACAATTCCATGAAAATATATGAGAGAGGGTAAAAAGGCACAAAAAATCGTCCAAAAAGAAGGACCAGTAGGACATGAAACAGGTAACTATGGTTGAAAAAGGAAGAATTACCTTTGAAATAGGCCTACTACGCAGATGAAATAGGCAACAGTGGTGGTATAGTGGTGGTTCTGGGCTGTTGCGAAGGCAGTGTGGTGGTGGCTCAGGGCTGGTGTTGTGGTGCGATGTTGTAACGGTGGAGTCTGAAAGCAAACACAAATTGTGATGGAAGCTATTGTTGTTGGTGATGTCCGATTCATCAAAAGAAAATAATTCTTTGATCAATCTTCTATTTTGTGAAAGAAGATATTACTATTTCAAATGTGTTATGTTTGATTAGGGTTTGCACATAGAAGGAAGTGAAAGTCGATCGGAGAGGAAGGGGTTTGCAGAGAGAAAGAAGGGAGAGAATGAAGTCGATTTTGGCGGGTGTAGAGAGTAGAGAGGAAGAGGAAGCGGGTGTTCAAAATTTTGGGGGATTTAGTTTCCCCCCTTACCTATCAAGGAGTCCCAGAAACGCGCGTTTATTAAAATTATAAAGCAACATTTGTAGAGGACACCCGTTTTATTATAGGTGCCCTCCGTGTTTTTAATATTTTTACATGAGACACTAATTTAAGGGCACTCAGTAATGCGCGACCTAAATCCTTAAATTTTTTGAAGAGATGACACTTTTTTAATGTCGCTCTCTAATGCGTAACATAAATCAAAGAGCGTCGTGTTTTACGCGTCGTAAAAGGCCTTTTTTCTAGTAGTGATGGGTGATGATGGAAGAGTATTGCTCGAGGGGCGAAATTCAAAAGATGGAGCAAGAACTTTGGAACCTTACCATGACAGGCTCCGACAAAGCATCTTATACCACTAGATTTAGTGATCTAGTAGCTCTATGTCCCGGGATGGTTACCCCGAAGAGTAAGAAAATCAAGAGATATATCTGGGGACTATCTCCTCAGATCCAAGGGAATGTACTGGCTTTAAACCCTACTACTTTAGATAGCGCCAAACGCTTGGCCCAGAGACTCATAGATCATGGAGTCCGCCAAAGCGTGATGGCCCCTGTCCCCGAGAAAGCGAAAGGGGGTGAGAACAAGAGAAAGTTTTGGAATAAAAAGAAGGGCCATCCGTCACAAGAACTTATCAAAAAACAACATATTTTGGATGTTCATGTTGCAACTACCCTTGCTACCCCATCACCAGTAAAGCAATATGCTAGGAACCTACCGAAGCGCAAAAAGTGCAATTTCCATCACCACGGACCCTGTCGGGAGATGCATTGCAATAACTGCAACAAGAAGGGGAACACTGCCCATTCTGTAAGGCACCGACGCAACCAATCACCCAGGTCCCCAATGTTGGAGTAAGCCAGGATTGTTACGGGTGTGGTGAAACTGGGCACTTCAAGAGAGATTGCCCGAAGGCGAAGATTACTGGCGGTGTGGGAAGCGTACTGGGAATAGGGCAGGAAGAAGCAATAGCAGATACTAAGGTGGTCAGAGGTACGTTTCTTTTTTATAACTTTTATGCATGCATACTCTTTGACAGTGGTGCGGAGAAGAGTTTCGTGAGCAACAAACTTAAATATCTACTCAAACAAAGACCACGATCACTAAATGGAACATTCACCATCGAGATGGAAAACGTGAGGACAGAGAGCACTAACGACATATACATAGCATGTGTCCTCACTCTAAACGACTATTCTTTTCAATTAGAACTTATGTCGGTCTCAATAAAAAGTTTCGACATCATCATCGACATGGATTGGTTAAGTCCTCACCATGCTGATATTCTATGCTACGAAAAGGCCGTTCACCTTAATCTGCCAAGTGACGAAACTCTTGTCATTTACGGCGACAAACCTGGTATGAACCTTCGCATCATCTCTTGCGTCAATGCCCCAAATTATCTACGCAAAGAGTACCACGCATTCTTAGCACCCGTAGTGGATGAGAAGCAAGAAGTAAAAGACATCGAGATCATTCTCGAATATATTCCAGGAGTTCCTCCTGAATGCCAAGTTAAGTTCTGAATCGACTTGATTCCTGGAGCTACCCCCATAGCCAAATCCCCGTATCGTCTAACACCAGTAGAGATGCATGAATTATCCATCCAACTAAACGAACTGCTAAACAAAGGATTCATCAGGATGAGCTTCTCACCCTGGGGAGCACCGTTCCTAATCGTGAAGAAGAATGATAGATCTTTCCGCATGTGCATAAATTAATGCAAACTAAACAAGATCACCATTAAGAATCGATACCCTCTACCCCGAATAGACAACCTGTTCGACCAACTCCAAGGAGAAAGCTACTTTTCAAAGATCGACCTGAGATTGGGGTATCACCAACTATGAGTCCAAGATATTGATGTTCCCAAAACAGCATTCCAAACTTGTTATGGTCACTACGAGTTTGTAGTGATGACTTTTGGACTAACAATTGCACCCGCAGTGTTCATGGACTTAATGAATCGGGTATGTCGTCCTTTCCTAGACAAATTCATGATAGTATTCATAAATGGTACAATTTTCTACTCACGAAGCAAGGAAGAACATAGCCAACACCTGAGACAAGTTCTAGAAACATTAAGGGTGGAGAATGTAATGCCCATAGATTAGGGCTAGTCAATTTAAGGACAATAAGTGTCAAAAATGACTTTTTGATGGAAGATTATTTTGAAGGAATAATCTTAACTAAGTTGTAGTATATGTTACAAGGATTCCGTACATATAAAGAACGCTGAAATCCGAGTTATAACGAACAAGTTATGACATGTTGAAGTTTCGCGACAAAACTGGTACGGCACAACGCGACGTAAATAGTGAATTTACGATAGAGCGAGATTTGGCCTTAGCGATCTAAACAAAAGTCGTAGAATACGTTAAACCGAGAGCGTGCATAAAAAGAACGTCCAAATCTGACTTCGTATGAGGAAGTTGTGATTTTTCTAAGTTTCAGTTTAACAGTACACAGCCCGAAACTCGAATTTGAGATCGAGTATTTTTGGTCGAAGCAATCTAAACGAGAACCGAAGATCTTGTTACTAGTAGTGCAATAATAAAAAGACAGACAAAATCGGACGTCGGATGAAGAAGTTATGAATTTATAACGGAGATTTCCTGTCCCGGCCTACTAAAAATAAATAATAAAAATAAAGTCATGATTAGCCGACGGAATCTAAACAAAAGTTGTATAGCGTAGTATCACCTACGCGGGGATATAAAGAACGTCGAAAATGGAGCTCGTATGAGGAAGATACAAATTTTTGAAGTTTATTAAATAATTAAAATATTTAATTTAAATATAACATATAATATTACCCGAAAGGGGGGGGGGGAGTCATGAGACTTATCCGAGTTACGCCCAACGTAACTAGAGAATTACGCCCAACGTTATCCCAGTTTCAGCCCCTATAAATACCTTACGAGGGCAGCCAAGTTTCTTTGCTAATTTCTCTTCTTTTTCTCTCTCGTTTTGCCTTGATTTTCATGCAAGAAATACCCCGAAGCCTCGGTATCATTCCTAAACCTCGAAGCAAGTCTCGAAGCCCCGAAGATCCCGAGAAGTGACATTTACGAGTCGAAGCTCTGCCTGCGAGAAGCCCGATTTTTGTGAAGATCTCCTGGTTTCACCGAAGAATACTACTTCTACAAGTCGTAGCATTGTCCGATCATCTTCTAATCAAGTGAGTGTGTGATTATTTTCTTCTAACACATAAATATGAAGTATTTGCTTTGAAATACGTGTTATGTGTATATATATTGTTGTTTATTTGAAGTGAGTCTATAGTCCTTTTTATAAACACAATTTTAATACAAGTGTTGTCTGAATGTATTAAGTATATGTTTTGGGTGAGTGTGTAGTCACTCTCTTCTAACACATAAATATGAAGTATTTTCTATCAAATACATGCTATGTGTTTATATATTGTTGTTTATTTGATATGAGTGTGGAATGGATGTTTTATATAGTTTTTAAATGAGTTAAACTGTATATGTATTTTATATCTAAAAATATGTTGGGTAGAACATGGATAAATGAGATAGTTGGTATGTGATAAAATGGTGAGGTAAATGATGAGGTATGAAAGATGATTAGGAATGATATTGGCATATGCAGCAATTAGAGAATGTCATAATACTAGCAGATGCGCTTAAGAATAATATTGGTAGATGCACCAAATAGAGAATGTCATAATACTAGCAGATGCACTTATAGGATAATCCTAGTAGATGCGCTTATAGGATAATGTCGGTAGATGCGCCTAAAAGAGAATGTCTTTAACCTGGCAGCCGCGCCTCATAGTGTTTTGACGTAATCCTGGTAGAGGCGCTTAAAGGATGATGTTGGTATATGCGCCTTATGTGGCAATGGATTTTGTGCCAATTACTTAGGTCAATCCTTAGGAATGAATGAATAAAGGATAGTTGAATTCTTAGGGTTAAACCTTGAGAAATAAAGAAGATAATGGGGATGGGTAATTGGGTTGATTGTTTGATGGTTGAATATAATAATTATATTATTATGGGTCGAAAACCCTATATGCTCACCAGACTCCCAAGCCCGACCCACTTAGTATTCTTTGTATCACATGTATCAATACGAATACATATTTCACTGAGAGATTAAAGGAGATGTAAATCATTGGTGTAAATAAATGTAACTTCTGTTTATGCTTATGTGTCTATATCGGAACATGAGATCCCGAGATTTTGCTATATAATGAAAATACATTTCTTTAAGAAATGCTTTGGTAAATTCTTATCATATTTTGTTTTGGGAACAAATTCCGCAGCAATTTTCTTTAAACGATTACTATAATTTTATAAAACAAAGCATAAACAAATCGGTCTTTTCTGGCCGTGAAATTGGGGATGTCACAGAGAGGCTATATACGAAGTTATCAAACTACGAGTTTTGCATTCGGAAAGTAGATTTCCTTGGCCACGTGTTCAACGAAGAAGGAACACACGTAGAACCCTCCAAAATTAAGGCAATCCAGAACTGGTCAACACCAAGCACGCCATTAGAAATCTGTCAGTTCTTAGGCCTTGTTGGCTACTACCGCAGGTTCATACAGAACTTCTCCAGATAAATTCGCAAGGTTACCAAGAAGCTAGTAATTGATTCCGTTTTATCCAAGTATGTCATTACCATTGTTTCGGTAATGACTAGTAAGATGGTTGTTATTCCGACCCTAGTGGTCATATCAAATTGAGTCCGACTACGATGAGAGGTCATCGGGACACGACCCATCGGTC